GGGCGCGAGTGGTACTTTGTGCCTTGGAACTCCTCCGAGAGTCGCTGCCGGCCCGTCGTCACGGCCCGTCAGCTGGCGCATGGGAATCTTGCCCTTGAACGCGCGCTTGATGCGAATCTCCTCGGGGCTGATGATCTCGGCAATGTCAATGCTGGCGCCCGTGTGGCCCTTGGTCGAGGGCAGGAACAGCATGCCGCCGACCTCGCCCTCGCCCTCGCCAAACTTTGTACCGACGCCGCGAATCAGCGTCGGGTCGTTGTCAGGGTCGGGCAGGTAGATGGTGCCGGAGCCAGGCTTCGCGGCATCCTGAGGGCGGCCAACAGGCACGGAGCCGACCTGGCGCGAGCCCCAGCCGATGAAGCCGTGAACAGATTTCTGGGCAATCAGCAGGCTCACGCGACGGCCGGCCTCGTTGCGTAGGGTTCGGTACAGCACGAGGGCGTCAACGAACTGGGAAAGCAGAGATATGTCAGCAAAAAGCGTCGAGAGTATAGGCATCGTCTCGACGATGGTGGGGGAAGGCGACGAACCTGGTTGGCATGCGGCGCGGCGACGAAGAGGACGGGACCGGTCCGTGGGACCTTCCACGTGCCTCGAGGGTGAACCTCGCGGAAGAAGAGGTCGACCAGCACGCCCATGACCCAGAGGAAGAGGTCGTATTTCCACGGCACCATGGGATACAGCTCCTCTCGGCCTCTTCTTCGATATGCGGCCCGTAGGCCGCGCGCCGCGGCGGCGGCCTTACCAAGCTGTTCGCTCATGGTGGGCGAAGGTGTCGAATGACGCAATCTCTGCGCACGAACAGAGGGGGGGTATATGTGTGTGCGTATGTCTCGAGCGAACAAAAAAGTATATAAAGCCGTGAGATATGTTTACCCCGTCATGTCGTTGCGATAGCAAGGCGAAGCAAATGAGGTACCTCGAGGACCACGCGACAGAAAGGGGAGGGGGCACGGGGGTATCAAATAGGCAAGCAGACGTGTGTCGGGCTTGTCCAGAGGAAAGAGGTAAAATGTCGTGGATGTGCGGCGACGCGAGCACACATGCAGCCGAGCAGCACAGAAGCAGACGATGTTGAGGATCGGGCAAGGAGGAAATGCTGGGGATCCGCGAGATCAATCGGCGACTGTCCGAGCTGCCGGCGGTGGTGGTGGTGGTGGTGGTGGTGGGATGTAGACGGCAGGTTTTCGAGGCTGGCCGTGTCGGATCAGGTTGATACTAATGGGCTGGATGGATTGGATGGATGAGCACACTCGGGAAGGTCAGCACCAAGAAAAGCGCCTTAACCCGGAACAGGGCATGGGGCAGGCAGAGAGCTGAGGGGATCGACGGGGGTCGGACCGTAACGTCCCATTGGCCCGAGCCCCGCGGAGCACCCAACAGGACCCCCGGAAACCCCCTCCACAGGGCCCGAGCACCCGCTAAGCCCACTGAACCGAATCGAACCAGCAGTGAAAGACGACCCCCCCAAGCCCCTAAACCTCCGAACCCGACAGAGAAAACCCTCAGGGAGGAAGGGCTCCAGAATCACATGAAAGAACTGTAGGCTGGCTCGTCTCTTGCCGCTTCTTCTGCCTCGCCTTCCATGGAGCCTCATCTTACTGCTCCACTTGCAACGAGATCAAGAAAATTCAAGATCTGAGGCCGGATGTAGCCGCGGCCACGTCTGCCTTTCCCTTGACGGTTCTTTTGGCCAGGCTCATTCAGCAGGTCTTTTGGAAGGCCTCGCAGGGAGGGTCAGGACCTCGAATGATTCGGCCCCCTCCGTGCACCCCCCCCCCCCTCTTGACGCATCGTACATGCGGTGGCACGACGCCAATGCCATGCGCAACCTCATTGTTGGCTACGAGCTGGCTGGGTCCCAATTCTCTTGATAGGCTCGGGCGTCGGCTCAACAAAACCAAAATATGGCTGCAAGCGACACTGGACGCGGGGGTGGAAGCATGTACAATCATGAGACACGAGAGACTGGGCATCATCCCTGTGGGGGTGGTGTCTCATCGAAGCTGATTCTATCTTCCATCGTTCCCGACGGCGGGATTCGGCCATGGCATGCCAACCATCATGGATGTCTCACGCTGCTGTCTGTGGGCAATGTCGTCTGTGGGCGAAGACCTTCATGCCAATGACTTTTTCGAAACGACATGCAGACTGTCCTTGTCATTGCGTGTGCCGTCTGCGCTTTTGTCCGAGATAGGAGCAGAATGACGACTGTTGGTGGAGGCTGCCACTTTCCTCCTCGCTGAATTATGTGCTTGCATGCAAAGGCCGTCTCGGCGCAGCAGTGGTGCGAGCAAGGTGGAGAGGCCGCCGCATGTTGCAGAGAGATGTACGTAGTTGCAATGGCAAGGCACGACGCCATGCCTCGTCTTCGCATTTCACAAGGCTCATCGCTTCACCACCAACATTCATCATTTGCTACATATATATTTCCTGGGATCTACCTCCATGTATTTATTTAGTAGTGGAGACCAAACACTATCTATGCATTTCACATCTGGACGCTTGGTTTTTTATTTTTCTTTTCAATTCTTTGTTCCATCATGGCCTATGAATCGGACCTCAGTGCAAACCACCGATTCGAGATGACATCCCTCAGTCCCTTGCCTTACGGTCCCTACCTAGGTCCCTACCTAAATACCTGCCTACCTAGGTACTTTAGGTACCTTAAGGTAAGGTAGGTAAGGATGTAGGTATTAGTGACGACAACTTCCAGCAAAAGAGGCCCCACCTCTATCGATAAGCTACAGTGCGCAGAGGCCGTGCTCATCTGCCCCTCGTTCCGCTGCTCGATTGCCCCTCGTTGCTTTGGCCCATCCGTGAGTCAGGGTCAAATAGTCACAAATTACCCCGCCGCGACATAATATCGTCCAACGGCACCGCACTCGGGGGCTTCGAAATTTTTGTCCGATATCACAGCACGCCGCACGCAGCACGCGACACGCAATTACCCCCCTTCCCCGGATCGCTCTTCGCCAGGCCATCCGCACGACAAGAAATTCATCTAGCATCGTCGCCATTGGCACTTGATTGCAAACGACCCCTCCAACATGGCCGACTCGAGCGCCCCCGCCCCGGCCCCGCCCACCGAGGCCGTCGCCAACATGCACCTCGACAGCGTCACCGGCGAGATGGTGTCCAAGAGCGAGCTCAAGAAGAGACAGAAGAACCGTGAGAGGGACGCCAAGAAGGCTGAGAAGGCCGCTGCCGCCCCTCCCAAGCCCGTCGCCGCCAAGAAGGACAACGCTGAGGCCGACGAGAAGGCCCTCGACCCGCGCCAGTACTTTGAGATTCGCTCGCGCGCCATCAACAAGTGCGCCATCGCCCCGTTCTTGTCAACATCTGAGCTTCGCCTGCTGACCAGTCCAGGCTGCGCGAGAACAAGTCACCCGACCCTTACCCCCACAAGTTCCACGGCAAGCTTGACCTCCCCCTCGGGCCATGGCTATTTTCTTTTTCTTCTCAACCTTGCTGACCTCTGACCCAAAGTCGACTATGACGTCCGCAAGTTCACCACCGATTTCGGCCACCTCAAGTCCGGCGAGCACAACAAGGACAAGATCCTCCGCGTCGGCGCCCGTATCTACAACAAGCGCGCCTCGGGCTCCAAGCTCGTGTTCTACGATGTCCGCGTCGAGGGCGTCAAGGTTCAGGTCATGTGCCAGGCCCAGGAGGTCACCGGCGACGTCTCGTTCGACGACCAGCACCTGCACCTTCGCCGTGGTGACATCATTGGCATCGTCGGCTACCCCGGAAGGTCAGCAGCCATACCGCTCTTGAGCTCTTGGGGGTTCCTGGACGCCATAGCTAACCCCCGCATACAGGACAGCGCCCAAGTCCAAGCTCGAGAAGGGCGAGGAGGGCGAGCTCTCCATCTTCGCGACCGAGATCAAGCTCCTGACGCCCTGCCTGCACAATCTCCCCGACGAGTACTACGGTCTCAAGGACCAGGAGGAGCGTTTCCGCAAGGTATGCACGCCTTCGGGCCGTTGCTGCAGGGTCAACCGCTGACTAGGAACAGAGGTATCTCGATCTCATGATGAACGACCGCAGCCGCAACACCCTCATCACAAGATCCAAGATGGTCACTTACATTCGTCGCTACCTCGACGAGAGGGTTAGTATCACTGCGAGTGCCATGCTGAATCCATTGCTCATTCGCTCCTAGGACTTCGTCGAAGTCGAGACCCCTCAGATGAACGCCATTGCTGGCGGCGCGACTGCCAAGCCCTTCATCACCTACCACAACGAGCTCGACATGACCATGTTCATGCGTGGGTCCTATCTGCTCTATGTAATGATACAGTGTCTGACATTTGCCCAGGTATCGCCCCAGAGCTGTACCTCAAGGAGCTTGTCGTTGGTGGCCTGAACCGCGTCTACGAGATTGGACGTCAATTCAGGAGTAGGTGCCCGTGACCACACGGCATAGTGGGCTGAATGACTGACTTGGGTCGCAGATGAGGGCCTTGACCTCACCCACAACCCCGAGTTCACCACTTGCGAGTTCTACGAGGCGTACGCCGATGTCTACGTGCGTTTGATTTGCTCTCGTCTCGCCCGACTCGATGCTAACGCGGTGGACAGGACCTTATGAACACTACCGAGGACCTCGTCAGCGGCCTCGTCAAGCATCTCACCGGTGGCTACAAGACCCAGTTCCACACGCAGACCGGCGAGGTCTACGAGGTCAACTGGGAGAAGCCCTGGAAGCGCTTCGAGATGATTCCCGAGCTCGAGAAGCAGACGGGCGAGAAGTTCCCTCCCTCGGACCAGCTGCACAGTGCGTTCCCTATTTCGCTGTTCTGCACCTATTACTCCTCCCTTTTCCCCCCTCTCCACTCTGTTATGAGCATCAGTGCCCGACTAACACACGCCCCAGCCGCCGAGACAAACGAGTTCCTTCGCGGCGTCCTCAAGAAGATGAAGCTCGACTGCTCGCCCCCGCTCACCAACGCCCGCATGATCGACAAGCTCGTCGGCGAGTACATCGAGGAGCAGTGCGTCAGCCCCAGCTTCATCTTCGGCCACCCGCAGGTCATGTCGCCCCTGGCCAAGTACCACCGCTCCATGCCTGGTCTGTGCGAGCGCTTCGAGGCCTTCGTTTGCAAGAAGGAGATTGTCAATGCGTACACCGAGTTGAACGACCCCTTTGACCAGAGGCTGCGCTTCGAGGAGCAGGCCCGCCAGAAGGACCAGGGCGACGACGAGGCACAGATGATTGACGAGAACTTCTGCATGTCTCTCGAGGTACGTTGAGCGCCGTGCTCCCATCGTGCACAATGCGGCAGCGGAAGATTGCAGCATACGCAGACAAAGAAAGAAAATGGGCTAACGCTGCGCAGTACGGTCTCCCCCCCACCGCCGGCTGGGGCATGGGCATCGACCGCATGGTCATGTTCCTGACCGACCACTACACCATCCGCGAGGTCCTCGCCTTCCCCTTCATGAAGGACGACACGCAGAAGCCCCAGCAGAAGCTCGCCGCCGAGGAGGTCGGCATCGAGCCCCTGCCCGTCGAGGGCATCGGTACGTTAGCCGCAAACTTCTTGGCTCATCATTTGCCATGGACCATTCATGACCGTTTCGTGACTAACGACAATGCCTCAGCCCACAAATAAACAAACGTCTGCCCGGCAAGCATCAAAAGGGGAGAAAAGGTTTGCATGCTGATCGTAAATGTCGTGCTGAACGATTTGAGAAAAGAAAATGGAATAGTATTCAAGCCTCGATACAGGCCCTCTTTGAAGTAAAGAAAAGGTCAAAGATGTCTAGAGAGTTGAGGTGTTCTACAACGGATACGGAGGTTGAGGGTTTTTGGTAGACCAGAAATGAAACGCCTACTTTTGGGGGGTACCCCTATCTGCAATGTGATAGTACATGCTTATACATGGTGCGTTCTTGTGCTGTTTCGTTACAAATCCTGCTAGTATACAGGCGTGTGTTCATGGCTTCTTGGGCACCTGCACCTTGAGCCTCCGCTCGAGCTCGAGCATGCGAGCGTAGACAAACCCGCAGGCGGTGTCCGAGGAGATGAGACGCCCGTCAGCAGCGCAGGCTGCCGGCCTGGTGGGCCGAGGCGAGGGGGATGGGGACCATGTAGATGAGGGTGCTGATGCCGAGGGCGGCTTGCAGGCAGACGAGGTGGACGACGCCGAGCATGCCCTTCTTGGCGTCCTTGGGCAGGGCGGCGCCGACGCGGGCACGGCGCGAGTACGCAAAGAGCGTGAGGATGGTAGTGAAGGTGGTCATGGCGAGGATGCGGTGGTCGAGCTGGACGGTGCTGGGGTTCTCAAGCATGTTGCGCCACCAGAGGTCCGAGCCGTCGGCCTTGCGCGCGTAAAACTTATCCCAGAGCTCCGCCTTGGGGGGCGTCAGGCCGAGGCCCATCTTGGGGAACTCGTTGTAGATGAGTCCGGCATCGAGACCGGCGACTAGGGCGCCCGACATGGCAGTCGTGAAGACAAGGGCGGTCAGGCCGTAGATGGAACGGCGGAACGGCGTGATGGCAGCGTGCTTAAGGACGTGCAGGGACTTGACGGCGGCAACGGGGTCAGCCGTCAGCTTGCGCGTGCGCAGGATGGTCAGGGCCGTCAGGAGCATCCAGGAGTAGCAGGCAAAGGCGGTGCCAAGATGGGCCGTCAGGCGGTACTGGCTAACCCTGGGATGCGAGCCAGGGGCAAAGAGGTCGTCCTTGAGGCCAGACTTGACCATCCACCAGCCGATGAAGCCTTGGAAGCCAATCAGCAGGGAAATGCCGAGCAAATTGGCTGCCATGGGCTTGGAGACGCGGCGTCGTGCGACAAAGTAAAGGGCAGGCAGGACGAAGGTCATGCCGACGAGACGGCCCCAGACACGGTGGCTCCATTCCATAAAGTAGATCTGCTTGAACTCGTCCATGGTCATGTGCGGGTTAAGGAGCGCAAACTCGGGCGAGGCACGATACTTGTCGAACTCGGATTGCCAGTCTTCAAGGGTCGAGGGAGGTAGGGAGCCGGTAACGGGACGCCACTCGGTGATACTGAGACTGGAAGGCGTTAGTTGTTGCCACGGAGCATGACTTTTGATGCTTCAGCTGGAGCGGAACGTGCTTAGACATACCCAGACTCGGTCAACCTCGTCAGGCCACCCCAGACAACAAGACCAAAGACACTGACAGCGCTGCCCAGCAGCCAGATGGCGACAGGCTTCGAGGTCGTCTTTTCGGGAAAGGACTTGCTCGCAGCCTTTGCAGCCTCCTTCGCCACAGACGGCGCAGCCTGAACCTGCTCAGCCGCGGCATTGGCCGTGAAGCTCATAGATGGTGCCTTTGCGACGGCATACTGGCGGGATCGTACGATGTTGATGATGCGTGATGGTGAGCGCAAGGGAACATGCTGATGCTGGCATTGGCGGCAGACAATTGCTGGAGTCGACAGCCGAACGGCTAGTCGACGTAGACCTGGGGCGAAAGACGCCATGTTGGCCAGCAATCGGGGTCGGTGGTGAAAAGCGTCGACCTGAGGGTGCTGGGTGGGTGATGTTAAGGTACAAGTCCAACGCGGGATGGAAAGTCGAGAGCGAGGCTCTGGACCCTAAATGATTCATTGGATGGGACATCCAGATGCTCCGAGTGGACTCGGGACTTCGAGATCGGAGGGTACGTACCCGGTTTGCACCCTGTCAAGAGCCCATGTGGACCCCTGCTCGTCCTGTCCAGCGACAGTGGTGCCACTTACAGGGGTCCCCCACTGTAAAATCCAGCTCACCGCTTTGCCCACCACGGCAGAATCAGAAAAAGTCCAAATTGTCCAGCAGGCAAGCACCTCCGAGCTTCAGTGGGCAAGGCGCCGATTGACGACAACTACATCAAACCTCACCAACTCGATCGACACGATGCCCGGACGACAGGCACACGGAAGGCCGCTCATCTCTGCCAAGTCGGCGCCCAAGCCACACAAGAAATCCAGCCAAAAGGTCCGCGCCCGGGCTCTCGACGCCTTTGGAATCGCCTCCGAACAGTTCCCCACAAAGGAGAAGAAGACACCGCGGTTCCGTGAGATCAATGCCGATGTTGGACGCAAACACAGTCGCGAGGAAGATGAAGAAGACGAAGACGACGAAGACGACGAGGACGAGGCCCAGTCGAGGAGGAAACGCGTGAAGCCCTCGGCGGCCCCCGCTGGCGATGACGAGGAGGATGAATTCGGCAGCGACAGCGAGGGCAACGAGTGGCGATACGGTGTCGGCGCCGATGACGATTCGGAGCTTGACAGTGACGAGGCGTTTGGAGAAAGCGACGAGGAGGAGTTCCAGGGCTACACATTTGGCAAGAGTTCGAAGAAGAAGACCAAGAAGACCAAACAGGACGATTCTGACGATGACCACCCGTTCGACGACCCGGAAGACTTCGACGCCGGAGACGATGGTGACGACCTCGGAGAAGACGCCATTGACCTGGCGCAGATGCTCGATATGGCGGAAGACGAGTCGGACGAAGAAGGAGAGGAGGGAGAATCTGATGAGTCTGATTCGGACGAGGACGATGCGTCCAGCCCACCATCGTCCGACGAGGACGACGAGGACGATGAAGATGTTGATTCTTCCAAGCTCGATGCTCTGCAAACCTTCATCTCTGGCTACGGTGGCGAAGACGACAAGGAGGATGCTCCGGATGGATCAAAGCCCCGCCAGAAGATCAGCTTCAAGGACCTCGGCCTCGCGGGCGTCAAAGACCCGCAGATGAAGAAATCCATGAAGCTCATGTCCAAGGAGGAGAAAGAAGCCCGCCCAGGGGGCGCTAAGAAACTTGCTATTCCACTCGGCAAGCGCCAGCAGGACAAGCTAAGCCGTGCTGTTGCGTACGACAAGACAAATGAGACTCTCGATCGCTGGACCGACCGCGTGAAGCAGGATCGTCGCGCCGAGCATCTCGTCTTTCCCCTGCCCGAGAACGCGCAGGATGCGGGCCTCAACCACGACGAGCTGGCGCCCATCACGTCCAAGACGACAGGCAACGAGCTGGAGCAGACCATCATGAGCATCATGGAACAGAGCGGCCTGGCGCTGAACAAAGAGGAGGAGAAGCGCATCAAGGCCAAGGACAACCCGAACGAGGGTCTCTCAAAGGAGGCGCTCCAGGAGCTCGTCAACCAGAAGCGCCAGGAGAAGGAGCTACGCTCGCGCGAAGCCAAGCGCAACAAGCGCATCAAGAAGATCAAGAGCAAGGCGTATCACCGTGTGCATCGCCGGCAGCGTGAGCGCGATGAACTCAAGCTTCACGAGGCCATGGCGGAGGCGGGTGAGATCGACTCGGAGGAGGAACGCGATGCGCAGGACCGCGCGCGCGCCCTCGAGCGTGTTGGCGCTCGTCACCGCGACAGCAGGTGGGCCAAGGCCGGCAACTCGAACAAGCGTGCTGTGTGGGATGACGACTACCGCTCCGGCCTTCACGATATGGCCCGTCGTGAGGAGGAACTACGACAGCGCAAAGAGGGCCGCGCAGGTAACGCTTCGGATGATGATGACGACGAATATTCCGACAGCGGCTCCGAGGACGGCAAGAACCGAGACCTCTTGGCTCAGCTCGACAGGGCAGAGAAGTACGACGATGATGAGCCCAAGTCTGCTCTCATGAAGATGAAGTTTATGCAGAAGGCCGAAGCTGAACAAAAGGCCGAGAACGACGCCATGATTGCGCAGATCCGCAAGGACCTTGCCTCCGATGCCGAGGACATGTCCGACGAGGAGGTCGAGGAGATTGGTCGCAAGAAATACGGCGGTGAACAGTCTTCCATCTCCGCGCCAGCCTTGACGGCTGCCCGCGAGAAGAAGCGTGCCGCCGCTGCGACAGCCGCCGGGGAAGACAACGACGCTCCTTCTGGGAAAGCCTCCCGCCCCAAAGCCGACGCCGCATCCCTCAACATCGGCACCTCCATCACAGCCGACGGTACTGCCCTGAAGAGCGACGCCTGGTCCTCCAATGAACCGCGCCGCAAGAACAAGAAGCACGCGCCCGTCGTCGACACGATCAGCACGACCGATATCATCAAGGCCGGCTCCAAGCGCGTCTCAAAATCCACCAAGACATCGGCGGGCGGTACCGAGATGGACGTTGACGGCGACGATGCGGACCTTCACCTGCCCCTCGCCATCCGCGACGTTGACCAGCTCGATCGCGCGTTCGCCGGTGACAATGTCGTCGAGCACTTTGCGGCCGAAAAGGCCGAGATGGAGACCGAGCAGGACGACAAGGTCATCGACGAGACGCTGCCGGGCTGGGGCAACTGGGTCGGCGACGGCGTGTCAGCGCGCGACAAGGCGCGGCACAAGGGCAAGGTGCTCCGCAAGGTCGAGGGCATCAAGAAGGCGAACCGCAAGGACGCCAAGCTCGAAAAGGTCATCATCAACGAGAAGCGTATCAAGAATGTGAGTAACGCCCATCTCCCCGTCTCCTCGTTCCTCTCTTTTCTCCCTGTATCCCCCCCACAGGCCTCTTTCGGGTACCAGCCGCGAACGCAGCTAACGGAAACGCAGAACGACAAGTATCTCGCCTCGCAGCTGCCGCACCAGTTCGAGTCGCGAGCGCAGTACGAGCGCTCCCTGCGCCTGCCCATGGGCCCCGAGTGGCAGACCAAGGAGTCGTTCCAGGACGCGACGAAGCCGCGGGTGCTGGTCAAGCAGGGCATCATTGCGCCCATGCTGCGGCCGACGCGGTGAGGTCTGTTCGGAGATTGCTGGCGGGTCGGAGCATGATGAGGACATGGCCAGATGTCTGTTGCATCAAAAAGCGTCTTTTTTTCCTTCTTCTTTGTTTTCGGGCATGTGGGATCTACAATCCGCAAATAGAATGCCCATAGAATCACGCCGTAAATACCTACATCTTCTCAACGCTGCCTCCGGACAAGGTCATGGCTGCAGGTCCAGATGGAGGCGCGAGCTATGTGTGATACCATGCTGCTACAAAGTAGCGATGTATGTGTGTCATAGTAGCGCGATCCAACATGTCGCTTGCTTACCGGCATGGAACCGTACTGTGGATGTGACCATGGACTCGCGGCCTAGTCGTCGAAGATAGATGTCAGATGCGTCAACCCCCTATGCTCGTTTCCTACCTGGCGACAACACAACGTGGAGAGGTGCACCGGCCTGTTTCATTTGCTCTTCCAAGCCTACCGACGCAGGAGATTTGTCGTTATGGAATCAACATGACCAGCGCAACTCTCTGGCGCTTGTGCCCAGACTCGGCGAGCGGCGTCTCTCACAGGGACTCCTAAGCTCACAGATACTAGACGAGGATGGCAAGCCCTCGATTGCATCATCATAGACTGCATCCTCATTCTCCATGAAACAACAGTCACCACATTGTACGTCCGGCAGACTTCATCTTGCGAAATTGATCTTGTTGACTAGCATTACGTACGCAAAGCATCGCAAAGCAGCCGAGGACCCTGCCAATTGCAGGATCACCATATCCCTTTTTTTCTGGGAATCGAGAGGTCAGACCTGCCTGCCTGACATCGCCGCACCGTGCCGCACCGTATGTTACATTGAAAGTTGTTCGTACTGAAAGGAAATCATACACTGTAAGAAATATCTTTGCGACCTCTTGTTTGAGAGGTTTGTTTGAGGTGGACAAGTCCGCTATTTGCGACTTGTACCACTATTGATCGAGGTCATGCGTGGCCTGCCAAAAAGAAAAGTGGCCGTTTCAGCGACTGAAAACGGCCGTCGAGAAGTGAGGAAATTTGTGGTGGAACTGGCGAGTCTACGCGCCCTCAGACTTAGCGACTGACAAGGTTGAGCGCTTTGTCCATGGCGTCGCTAGGGCTGACGTAGAAGGCCAGCGCGATGATAAAGTAGAGGCCCAGCAACATGGCACCCTCGAGGTAGTTCGACTTGCCGTCTTGGACGGTGTAGGTGACGACGAGAACGGAGAAGGCAAAGGCGACCGTCTCGAAGGTCTCAAAGTGGAGGGTCATGGGCTGGTCGAGAACCGCCCAGCCGAGGATGACGAGGAAGGGGGTGACGAGAAGAGCGATCGAATGCTGGATCCGATTGCGGTGTTCATAGCCAGATACATCTTGTTGCGAATGGCCACCACAACAGCGGTAACGTGCTCAGCAGCGTTTCCGACGATGGGGATGAGAATAAGACCAATGAAGTTCTTGCTGATATGCGCCTCCTCCACAATATCGTCGATGCTGCCCACGAGGTAGTCGGCGCAGATGGCGACGAGAACGGTGGTCACGACAAGGACAAGACCGGCGGCAACGGGACCCATGGCGGGCTCCTCCGTCTCCTCCTCGCTAAGCTGGACCTCGGAATCGAAAAGGTTGGGGTGGGTGCGAAGCTGGAACCACAAGTACATGACGTAGAGGACAAGGAGGGTGATGGCGGTGCCGCGCGAAAGCACGAGGATGCTGTGTTCCTTCTCGGGGCTGTCGGCCTGGTTCAGTACGGACCAGAGCTGGACAAGGGTTAGCGAGGAACGCAGGAAAGATGGGTGAAATCTGGCAAAACACATACCGTAGCGGGGATGACGAGCGACGCCGACGACAGCGCCATGAGCGAGCAAGTCGTCTGGGCCGTGGCCGAGGCGAAGCTCTGCTCCATGCCGAGGCCGGTCGCAGGGTCGCGCATGTTGACGATGCCACCGAAGAAGAAGCACATGCCCATGACAAGCAGCAGGTCGACAGGATGGAGCCGAGCATGGAGGACTGGACGACCTCAATCTGGCCGTCCTTGAGGGCGACAATGCTGACGATGAGCTCGACAGCGTTTCCAAAGGTGGCGTTGAGGAGACCGCCGAGGGACTCGCCCAGCTTCATGGAGATCTGCTCGGTAGCGTAAGAGAGAACGGCGGCCAAGGGGATGATGGCGAAGAAGTTGATGGTGAACACAGCAGTCGCACCCCAGCCCATCTTGCCGGCAACAATGCCCAATGGCACCATGAAGAGGAGGAAGTTGACATAGTCTGGCGCAAGAGGCGGTCATGTCAGTCAAGTGCTAGAGGGTTCGAGGCCGCCGTCGCAAGCCAAGGGAGAAACGTGGAGAGGAGACAGGCGCGCGGGAGTAAGAAAAAGACAAACGTACTGCTGAGGAGGGTCACCTTGGTGACGTGCCAGGTGTAGGCTGAGTACTTGACGAAGACGTTGTCGCTGTCGCTACCGGGCGTCCTCTCCGTATCGAAGAAGAATTGAACCGTCTTGTTCCTGGAGTGACCATTCGCGCGAGGCTCGTCGCCGTCGGCGTCCCTCAGATGGGGCTGGCCGGAGCCATTGCCCAGCAGTGGTGAAGACTCGCTGGCGCCATCCTCACGACCGGCGTCGGATACAGGCTTGCTCGTGTTGCTGTCCCATGTGCGGCGAACCTGCTCGCGGAAACTGACGTTGGCTGTGTTGTTGTCGGCCATCGTGGGCCATGCAATTAGCCGAGGTGTGCTATGGTTTCCAGGGACTGGCGGCGATCTTGTTGTCGTCGGGTCGTTGGGTGAGGCTTGCAGGTGGGAAAAGGCAAGGCAGGAGGACGAGGCTGACTGGAGCTGGGCTTGGGTAGAGGGGGTCTAGGCGGAAAGAGTTGGATCTGGTCCAGGCTGGGAGCGAAGTGACAGGACAGGACGATGCAGACCAGGAAAATTGGGAAAGCGAGAAAGAGGGTAAGGTGAGGTGAGGTGGACTAGCAGAGAAAGCGTTTCTTTCTCGTGTGTGACACGGTCCGTGGCTAGTAGGCAGGACCGGGCAGATATGTGGGAGGGCAGGGAGAGAAGGAGGCGGAGGTGTGTGGATGCGCGAACTGGACGATGGAAGAAGGAGACGGATGAGAAGCAGGTACTACTTACAAACCATTGTGGCTGGTTGGGCACGCGATGTCTGGTAAAGGATACTTTTCAGATGGTGGGGTCGAACAGGGTCGAACAGGGAGCACTTCGCCTTGCGATGGCGGTCAATTTGCTTGTCGGAATGGGGCAGTCGCGCGTGTCTCGATCTCAAGCTGCGACAGCGGTAACCGTGACAGCAGCGGTAGTGGCAGAAGGGGCAGGTGAAGCGCTGGTCGCGGCGTCGGAGATGGAGACAGAGCAGCAGCTCATTAGACACAGCCCCCTCCCCCGGTCAAGGTTCGGGTGGTATCAGAAGGGGAATAGGGTGTTCTGCGGTGCACGGCTAGACTCTGGAGTGCAGCAGGTGAAAGTAGGGACCAGGGTGTGGGCAAAAGACCTGCAAGGTAGCTGAGAGACAAGAGTAGGAGGAGGTGAGGTAGGTGATCGTGGTGTTGATTGTAATGCTCTGACTCGATAGAGATGAACGTGAGAAGTGTACCAGACTGGTCGGGCGAAAGCCAATGCGGGTAAAGATGCCCTGGTCAGGCAGTGGGCGGCCTCCGGGGGGGGGGGGTTCTGTGGCAGCACAGGTACACTACCTATGATGAGGAACGTCCTGAGGTATGTGTGTGTGCGCGGTGAGCGATGGGGGAAGGAAGAGACTGAGAGAGGTGAAGCTTCGGCCAGGGTAGCTCTGCCGGAAGATCAGAGGTCCAGTAGCAACCCAGAATCCCTGTAGATATCCCACGTCATGGAGGAATCAACCAGTCATGGGCCACTTTGACGGCAGGGAACCCTGTTCCAGATGTGCCCCGTCCAATGGGGCGGCGGTTCTAGAGTGGGGTCGAGCGTGGCTATGCTCAACCCGTTGACCTGTTTGCTCGTCGTCCACTGTACAACCCACTGATTGCATCGAAATTTCAACTGGTGTGCCCGTCACCACCCCCGCTCCGTCGCCGGATGCGTTCTGCGTTATGTCCTCTGTTCTGTTTCACGATGCAATCGAAATCGTGAGGGGCGCCTCCGAGGTTTCAATACACCTGTTTGGCCTCCTCCCCATCGAATACTCCCACGAAAAGAGACAACGACCAACAAAAGTCGGTACGAGGCGACGTCGACACAGCTTCCCCTGAAAACATCCCCACCAGGATGACATGCAAGATCAAACGAAACAGGGAGGCCCAGGTACCAAAGCCAAGCTCCATCCTCAAATGTGGCTCCTTTGCGTCAAGACTCTGCGCCATGGAACCTCGAAGCTCCAGCAACGCACAGAAGCACTGCGAGCAACCAACGCCAGCGATCTTGGAACGTGGACCTGATCGACACCTGCTTGACGTGTGCGATTGAACTCTGCTCACTCTGCTCACTCTGCTCTGACGCTCACTTCCTGCCTTTTTTTTTTTCTCTCTCCATCCTGGGACGTTTGACTTGCTTTTCATTACACGCCGTGCCAGTAGATGTACCACTGGCTTGGCATTCGGCCAATCGCCCTGCACCGCCTCCCTTTGTCCACCCAACCCCGTCGCCCGCTGTGCTGACCTCACGATGTTCCGACGCATCTGTGGCCGCCTCTGATCGAATCGCTGTTCGAGGATAACGTGAGGGGAAGACAGCACCACGATGACTAGCCGCAGGTGCTCACCATTGAGCCTAAGACTTCTATCCTGGACCACTTGCGCCTGACGCGTCGCTTCACCCCCGTTCGTGCGGACTGGACCCAGGCGGGCTGTGTGCTGGCAACGCAGGACGCCGCCTGCCTGCGCCAAACCGCTTCACCCGGACGGAGGTGAGTGAGATGATCCCTTTGCAATCTTGCAATCTTGCAATCCAGGCAGTGCCGTTCCACGTGCATTTCGGTTAGGTGGCCAACCCGGATGGATGATCGAGTGCAGTCCTGTCACCCTCCGCCTCACTCTGCTGAATCGCGTGTCTTGGCTCAATCAGCAACACATGCCTCGCGCTGCTGACGGAGCGGCGGTTTAACTTGCGTTATCCTGCGGCGCAGGCGGTAGGCACAGCCCGTGACGATGCTCAAGACCCTGGGCCTCTAGGTCTATTAAGACTCGGCGGACTGCTTGGCTCAAATAGTTTGACTGCTTCGCCGCTGGCCTCGGAGATGGTACACGAAGCAGTATGGCTGGGTTTTACAGATCCCGCCCACGTTCGGCGTCCTGATGTCGGCCCAAGATTCCGGTAGCAGAGACGGGTCGGAGGCATTCTGTCCATCTGCCTGCCATGACGCCTCTCTTAGGTAATGTGGGTCCGGTCAGCTTGCGTCTGAGCTTGCGTCTGGGGGGGGGGGGTGGGCTGTGATCAGAGCGGCTCATCACATGAGAGACGACCTATCGTGATATCGAATGATTCGGATGGCCGGCATTGGCAATACGTCTCAAATCACAAGGCGTTGCGGCCTCTGTCGATTCACCGGCAAGCACAACAGTCAGCCAAGCAGACCGCCCAAAAAGGCAGACAATCGAAGTCACCCAACTCGGTCACGGTCTCAGCATCTTGTCGCGAAGACATCTTCCTTCGATGCCATCACCAAGTTCGGAACGCCATCTATACGCAAACGATTCCAAGCAGACATACCGGTCATCGTCCGATCCAGAAACGCCACAGGTGAGGTCAAACCAAGCTTCAGAGCCAAGCTTTCCAAACCCCTCCCCATCCTACGCCAAAATTCGACATAGACACCCAGAAAAAAAGAGAGCCACGCCTTTCCCGTCCCCATCGCCAGGCCGCGCGCGCCCCGCAAAATCCCCCTGCCGCACACAAAAACCCGGGGGATCGGGTTGATGACGCGTCACCCTCATCAGGACCCCCCCCCCCTTTTCTGTATTCATTCGCCCACGTTTGTTTGTTTCGTGTCGTTGTGTCTATCTTTGCCTAGCCCGTGCTTTTCAATGAGGAATTCTGTCACACCCTTGGGTCTTGGGTCTCGCTTCGGGAGAGTTAGAAACCCTGTCTGATGGGTAGTCCCTGCATAGATAGACGTCTGGTCAAGCTTTCGAAGCTCCCACCACCTTCGAAGAGAGCGAGAGAGCTCCCTGGCCCGAAGATTCGGATTGGAGGAGACGGGACTTTTGATCTGATCTGCGGAAAGGAGGGGGTGTATCCACGCACGTTGTCACTGTGCTATGTGTGCTATCGTGCTTGTTCCGACTCGATCGCTTGGCAAGGCTGGGCCGTCGTCTCATGCAAGTAAGACTTGACGCGAAGTGCTCACCAGTGACGCAGCGCGGCTGCACTTCTGACCTCCCAGGTCGGGATTTGCCGCTTGCCATTTGCTTTCACCCAAAGCTCATCCCA